ACAGCCGTGGGGGCTCCCGCGGGGGCGGCCGGGGTTCCTTCAGACCTACCTCAGGGAGCGGAGGCTCGGGGAGGGACGCGCAGGCGCTCCTCGGCACGCCTGGTAGAGTCGAGGCCCAGGAAATAAAGGTAGCTAATATTATAATAATAAAAAAAAAAAAAAACAAAAAAAAACAAAGTGAGACTCTGTCTCAAAAAAAAAAAAAAAAAAGCACTCGGTATATTCTAACACATTACAGCAATATAAAATGTAGGTAAAGAAGGGCTCAAGCAGAAGAGCTAGTCCTTAGCACCCACAGATCCTGGAAATGAGTCCTTGATCACCCCCAAGCCTATTGCATATTCATTTGTTTATTTGTTATTATCTGTTCACCCCCAAGCCTATTGCATATTCATTTGTTTATTTGTTATTATCTGTGTCCTGCCAAGAGAATGGACACTCTAAGAGTGGGAACTTTCACTGCTGCATACCAGTACCCAGAGCAAATTAGTAGATCACTAATAAATATTTGTTGAATGAATGACTGAATGCTTAAAAGGAAGTAAAGAATCCCTCAATCAGTAAAATCACTCTGGAGGACAAGTTGTCAATGTCTGATAAAGTCAAATTGCACATAACCCAGCAATAGTCCATGGCCCGGCATTTCTTTTCCTTATAATATACTCCAGATGATCTTTTGCATATATGTCTAAGAATATTTATAGAAGTATTATGTGTGAGAATAAAAATTTAGAAGCCACTTAAGGTCCATCGGTTGGAGAATGGATAAATAGCTGGTGGTATATCCATGCAATGGAACATGAGATAACAGGAAAATGAAAATGCTAATGCTCCACACATCTTCAGACATGAATTTCATAGTTATAAAGTTAAGCAGGAAAAAACGCTAGAGTGCTGTGGCGTCAGCCTAGTTCACAGCAACCTCAAACTCCCGAGCTCAAGCGATCCTTCTGCCTCAGCCTCCTGATTAGCTGGAACTATAGGCATGTACCATCATGCTTGGCTAATTTTTTCTATTTTTAGTTGTTTGGCTAATTTCTTTCTATTTATAGTAGAGATGGGGTCTCACTCTTGCTCAGGCTGCTCTCAAATTCCTGAGCTCAAGCAATCCACCCGCCTTGGCCTCCCAGAGTGCTAGGATTACAGGCGTGAGCCACCGCGCCCAGCCCATGTATATAATATTAAAACTTCCAGGCCGGGCGCTGTGGCTCACGCCTGTAATCCTAGCAAACAACATAAGGTTTTATTTAGGGATAAAGATGTATATATTAAAAATATAGAAACGTGTGAGAATAATAAACCCAACGAAGAAAGTGGTTTCTCCTGGAGAAGGAGGGGAATTATCAGAGAAGGGTAATCAGGTACTGTTTCATTTCCGAATTAGGATAATAGATACATGGGTTCATTGTGTTGTTTTTTTATAATTTTTTTCTCAAATATTTTAAATAAATTTAAAAGTAAAATAATAATCAAGCTCAGGATAAAATGTGAGCACATGTATATCCAGTCATCTCATCCTAGAAAAGAGATCCACATCCACAGTGCATAAGTAAGAAAGGGATACCTCCACTGAAGGTTCATGGAGAGACAAAAAGAAAGTGAAATCCACACAGCACTCAGGAAGCCATTTTTTTTAAAAGCATGTTCTTTTCTCTTGAAGTTCCTCTCCTCCTCCAGCTACCTCATTAAATCCCCTACCTTTGGCACAGCCTTAAATATATCCCTTCTAAAAATCATTTCGCGGACCTTACTTTGTATGCCCCAGCTCAGTAAAACAACAGTCCCATATTTAGGCCCAAAGGCTATCACTTATTATAGCCTAGCAATATATTCCCTATGGGCCTCATCCATCCCTACCACCATTATCACAATAGATTCTCGTAG